AATAATGATAAAGAGCCATCAGAAATCTTGACACGCAACTTCAATTTCTAGCAATTGATTTAGAATTTCAATGTTATTACTGTAGGATAATTGTTTCAAAATCGAATATCAAATTTACAGACTGGATATCGTATAATAAACTGTACGTATAACAAATCCAACGATTTGTTGATTGCAGTAAAAAATAACAAGTAATTTAAATAATTAAAAAAAGAACAATATACAAATCGAGTAAGAACAAATAAAACAGTATAACACTTTTAACTCGAGGCCTGTGTCAAACACAGTTTCCTAAAACAGATTCGCCCCCTCACCGTACGTGCTTGAGGATAGTACAAGCGTCTGCTTCCCAAGATACAACGGAGGAACCAGTAAAATTCGAGCACAACAGACTCTACTCTAGCGAACTGACTCTGTGTCTGAAATATATCACCACCAGACTCGAACATGAACGAAAAATGCAGAGAAACAGGAACTGTGTGCAGATGAATATGCAGATGAATTTTTTCGTGTATGAACAGTGGAAAAACGAGATATATATAAAGGCTAACTCTTGTAACCTGCCCATTAACAAATGGCAATTAATATAGGAGTTTCGGGAGTTTTGAAAAATCAAAAGTCTGTTGAAAATTAACAAAAATGTAGCAAAACCTGGATACTCCTAAGGGGCCAATTTTGCTCCTTTCGGTCCGACATTCCTGTACGCAGGTCGCGCCCGCACACAAGTTCAAGGTCCGAAGCCTATTTCGATCCAAGATTTGCACCCCCCTGCGCGCGCACGTGGAGAAAGCCTCTATGCTACACATGATTACACCACTCTAAAGTGTAATCCTTTATAAAGTGGTTTTAAATTTCATCAACTTCCTATGTGGGACAAACCTTAATTTTTTTAGTTTTCCCACCAACAAACTCTTTTCACATGGCATACTTTGAGTTTCAATTTCTCATTCACCCGAGTATCATTTTTGACAAGTAAGCATATGATTTCGATGTACTCACGGAGGAGAACACAAATCAACTTCCATCTTTCAAAATAGTCAACCGGGTCCCGCTCAAAATTAGTGCCAAAACTAGTCACACAACTTAGTTTTTCCAACAATTACTAATTAGTATTTTGACTTGTGAGAGAGAACATAAGTGTTGAGATAGCATTCATTCTATTTTTGTACTCCATAATTGCTCTTGAAGTCTAAGTCATATCCATGGCCCAAGCGAAAATTGGAGCATGAGGCTTGTAGAGGATGGATCAATACTCAATTATTTGAGTTGATATCTAACTCTTAATTGTGATGGAAGAAGGCACGTGATGGTTATCGATTCTATCTCCTAAGGATTGTAAGATGAGTGACTTTTGAATATTTTGAAGTTGCATCCTGCATAGATAGCAATCCATAAAATGCGGAGGAGATGCTCTTAAAATTTTTGTGGCCATACCTTCAACTTTCAATGTCATTTCACATCTATTACTATTGTATCTTTCTATTTGAAAATTGACGATATTGATGATGTCGTAAATAGAATCGTTATTTATTCAACAATCTAAAGATATGTTGAGAAACAACATAAAAAGTATGATGACCATTTTTTAAAATTTTAAAGTTTAATTTTAATCCCCACCAAATACGAGCTAAGTGTAGTTATTGGATTGAACTCGTCGAGAATTTTAAAATTAACTTAGTCTTCATTTTACAAATTTTTATTTAATTTATAAATAGGAATAGTATGATAAATAATAATAGGTCCAACGAAATATATGAATAATAATAATAAGCAGTAGTTATAAATTTGTGGTTGAAATTAATGTTTAGTTATGATTAAATTTATAAATCATTTTTAAATTACTCGCAAAAGGATGCTTAATCTTTCAATTTGTTTTTGATACGATAATTTGAAATTTGAAATTCTAACTTTACTTCTATGGACAATTACTCTATACATCCCATTTCAATTTGAAATTCTAACTTTACTTCTATTATTTTTGTTCTTTAATTATTTGCTTTTTAAAAAATGAAAAACACACTACATGCAGCAATATTGTCCTCTCTCTAGGACGAAGAAGAGATAATCCAACCTACCTCACCTCATTGATGGTGGTCGATGATGGTAATAGTGTTGCAAATGGTGGTGACGATGGCACGATGTTTGGTGGTTGTGTTGGTGGGTTAGTACTGATCAAATGTGTGGGCATTGATTTAGGACTTTTGAGGTGTTGGTGTTGGTGTTGTGAAGACTTGATTTTGAGGGTGGCAATGGCGACAATAGCATTATAACATTGTGTTACATAATTTTATGATGGTGGTAATGTGGTCTAGTTGTTTTTTTTTTTTTAAAGTGACCATGGGTTGTAATATAATGTGTTATGATAAGGATAGTGGTTGTGGTCCATAGATGACGACGACATGGTGGCATAACAATTAATGTTATAAGTGGTAGTGATTGCAATAGTGATATAACAATAAATATTACAGGTCATGGACCGTCAATGGTAGCGGTGGTGACCGCGTTGATGGTGAAAATTAATGACAAAACGAGTGTAACATTGCGTTACAAGTTATGGCAGTGGTGGTGATGGAGGTGAAAACTGTCTGGTGAAGTACGTTTAACAAAATTTTATAAAATATAGAATATTGTATTACAAAATTTATTGTAAAAAAATTAAAATAATAAAAAATAGAATTTTGAGAATTAAAAGGTTGATAAAAAATAAGATGTAAAAAAAAAGTATGAAATTACTAAACTTTTTGTGGATATTTATGGATCCTTTTTTTCTTATTATTACAAAAGTAATTGAAAAATAAAATTTTAAATTTGTTAATATTGACCACGGGTTATGCTTGGCCATTGTTTTTCTCGAAAAACCCAACTTGACAAAACATATTGAACCCATATATTGATATATAGGATAATTTGGATAAATTTGCTGTTTTAATAAAATAATAAGGATAATTTCGTTAATTTAAAGTTCAAAAACTAAAAAGTTTGTTCATCTCAATACCACATAGATCAATGATGATTTAAACTCTATATCAATAGCATTATCCTTGTAAAAGTCCTTCCAAACCCACCATGTTTGGATGAGATATAAATGTGTGCTTGCTTTTGTTATTAAATTTGATCCGACAGGGAAATCAACGTTGTTCGTTTGTCCGTTATAGTGATCAATTTGACCAATTAAAAAAGGGAAAATTGTAGTAACGGTCTTTAACATTTTCAATTTTTGCAGACTTTACCCTAATCTTCATTTTGTGTCAACGAATGTCCCTAATCTTTCATAAATATGCATCTGGAAAACATTCATTTGACCATTAATTGACTAAGAAAATTGGACTTTGACCAATTTTAGCTAGATTATAAGGGGTAAAATGACTAGTTTAAAATTTTCACATTAAATAAATAAACAAAAAATAAAACAATAGTTTCTTCTTCACCCCCAGCCTATCCCCCACAACTGAAAATTAGCCACCAACACCACCTAAACTATCGGACCCACACATCATCGGAAAGCTTTAATTCCTACCCACACATCCCACCCAACCACCGGCCTTAACTTCACTGGATGTTGTCAGAATAACGACCAAAAACCCCAACCCGCGAACTCAAAACACAATCGGCAACTCCTCCTCTGATCATGCCTACAGTCGCGGAGTATCACCGGTCGACTCCCACAATCCAGACGTCTAATATAATGATGGTATTTCAACAAAAAAGGGGGACAAACAATTAATGCATCTTCTAGGATTTCAAATCCGGATCTCACGCTGCTGCAAATCCCCCATTCACAAACTCTCTTGGGAGAAATCTGATTCTGGTTTTGATTTGGGTGGGGTAAGATTTGATTTATAGGTTTGATAGAGATAAAATCAGAGATTTTCTTGGTTTGATTTTCAAATGTGTAGTAAGCTGGACGGTGGAGATATAGGGTGTTAGCATTTCGAATGTGCAGTAATCTGGAAGGTGGCGATAAAGGGTGTCAGCACTGGTAATGTGTGATAGTGAGTGGAAGTTGTGGTGGCGATGTCGATGTGGGTGTGGGCCAAAGGTGGCGGTGATGGCAGTGTTTGGGAAAGTCTTGTCGGAGAAGAAGAGACTTCACCGACTTTGATTTGGGGGATGTGGGTGGGTTTATATATTTACTTTTATTTTTTGGGGTTTTAATTAATTTTTAACTTATTTAATATAAGGAAAATATAAAGTACTATTTTACCCCTTCCAATTTAATTAAATACGGTCAAAGTTCACTTTTTTTGGTCAACTAACGGTATACATGTGGCCTCCAACTGCATATTTATGAAAAGTTAGGAACTTTCGTTGGCACAAAATGAAGATTATGATAAAATTTGCAAAAATTGAAAAGATTAAGGACCGCAGAAAATTGGACTTTGACCAATTTTGGCTAGATTAAAAGGGGTAAAATGACTAGTTTAAAATTTTCACATTAAATAAATAAACAAAAAATAAAAAAATAGTTTCTTCTACACATCATTGGAAAGCCTTCATTCCTACCCACACATCCCACCCAACCACCGACCTTAACTTCACCAGATGTCGCCAGAATAACGACCAAAAACCCCAACCCGCGAACTCAAAACACAATCGGCAACTCCTCATCTGATCATGCCTACCATCGCGGAGTATCACTGATCGACTCCCACAATCCAGACGTCTAATATAATGATGGTATTTCAACAAAAAAAGGGGACAAACAATTAATGCATCTTCTAGGATTTCAAATCCCGATCTCATGCTGCTGCAATTCCCCCATTCACAAACTCTATTGGGAGAAATCTGATTCTGGTTTTGATTTGGGTGGGGTAACATTTGATTTATAGGTTTGATAGAGATAAAATCAGTGATTTTCTTGGTTTGATTTTCAAACGTGTAGTAAGCTGGACGGTGGCGATATAGGGTGTCAGCATTTCGAATGTGCAGTAAGCTGGAAGGTGGCGATAGAGGGTGTCAGCACTGGTAATGTGTGATAGTGAGTGGGAGTTGTGGTGGCGATGTCGGTGTCGGTGTGGGTCAAAGGTGGCGGTGATGGCAGTGTTTGGGAAAGTCTTGTCGGAGAAGAAGAGACTTCACCGAATTTGATTTGGGGGATGTGGGTGGGTTTATATATTTACTTTTATTTTTGGATTTTTAATTAATTTTTAACTTATTTAATATAAGGAAAATGTAAAGTGCCATTTTATCCCTTCCAATTTAATCAAATCCGGTCAAAGTCCACTTTTCTTGGTCAACTAACGGTATACATGTGGCTTCCAACTGCATATTTATGAAAAGTTAGGAACTTTCGTTGGCACAAAATGAAGATTATGATAAAATTTACAAAAATTAAAAAGATTTAAGGACCACTATTCAAATGGTCATTAAAAAATTATTTGCTCAAAGAATGGGCTGAAACCAAACCTAAACAAAAATCTGGTTTAGAAATCCATAATTTTCACCTCCCTCCCTCTCCAAATCGCAGAATTGTACTCTGTACTGAGTAGCAGAGAGTAGTGTACAACCTGTGGAGAGCGATAACAAAACAAAACGACGCGCGTCGTACCGAATCACACATACAGTCTCCCATCCCTCGTTCTTAACGTGCGCCGGGGCCTGTGTATCCAGCGCCCCAATCGCCTAATGAGTAGATCATCAGCTGCACTCATTTTACTTTTCGTAGCTCTGGTTGCTTTGCCGGTATCGCTTGCTGAATCCGAAGATTCGAAACTGCTCGATGACCACGCCGCCGGAAATGTCACCGCCGGTAATATGACTGCGGCGAAGGAGGACACCTTTGCTGACATGATAGACCGAGCACTGGAGAAAGAGTTCACTGAGAATGAGGATCAGAATGAAGGTTTTTTAGATCTCAACTCTCATCTCGTTTTCGCTTTGTTGCATTGAATTTTATTTTTGCATTAGAATGTTTTTAGGTTAGGGTTTTCAATTAAGCTCCATTGGGCTTATAAGATATTTGCAGCGTGTTATGGAACTGATTTTTTATTTTCGGTTCTTTTTTTGGTATTATTTTGTAGTTTGCTTTTGGTGCTTGAGAATTGAATGGCGGATTTTAGTTTAATACACGATTGATTTTGTCAATTTATAGTGTAGAATAATTGAAGTTCAAATTAAGATTTTGATATATTGAGACATTAATTCAGGCATTGCATTCTCAGTGTTATAAGTTCAAATTAAGATTATTTATGGAACTGTTGTTGTTTATTATAATTGATTTTTTTATTCAATTATTGTGATTGATTTTGACTTTTATTTATGGAGAAAATGCTTGTTTGTTTATGGTTTTCTCTAAGTTATGTACTTGAACTATAATGGCAGCAAATGATGCTGGTAGCTTCAACAACAGTGTGGCAGGGCAGCAGGTTTGTTTTGTTGCATATATTCAACTTTTCTGGCAGTGTTTCTTCTCTGATCTTTGTCAAGCCTGCTTTATGTATAAAAGGGGGATATTCGGCTTTAATTGTGAACTTGATTAGTCAGTGCCATGGTGGGTAATTGCATTGTTTGGTCAATTTGCATGTGTGGGAGTACTTAAAAGCATCCTTACATGGAATACCAAACATGCACAATGTATGAATCATCTCTAGCATTCACATCCTTCAGAAAATGTATTGGGAATCCGAAAATGATGGTAAATCAATATGGGTAAATCATATTAAGGGTCCGTTTGATTGTAAGAGTGAAATTTGGGTGGAAAGAAAATGAATTCTAGGGAATCGAATTGCTGATAATTGTTTTCCTTGGAATTTTCAATTAATTGTGTTTGATTAGTATAATTTTTCACGAGGAAAATATTGAAATTTTGGATCTTTTGGTATTCATTTGAATTTATTTTATATGAAAATTATTCATTAAAGGGATATAATTTGTTGCAATTGGGGATATAATTTGTTTTCATTGCTTAAAAAAAAAAACTAGAAGACAATTTTCCCACCAAAGTGGTGGGAACACCAATTCAAGGAAAACAAGGAAAAATGGGTCACGTGGGGGATAGGGTGGAAAACCAATTTGAAGAAGAATTCCTCCTATCAAACAATGTAAAAGATGGAAAATGATTTCCAAGTTCCATGGAAAATTGGGGAAATCAAATAGGGCCTAAGTAATTAATACATAAAAATGAGAAATCTCTTATCTGGATAATGGTTCATATACTAATCAATGTTGTGACGAGAAATTTACAATATTGGAAGCAGCTGAAATGCACTGTCTCCATACACCTGTCCCTCCAGAATAAGTTGATATCCCAATTGATTCTGCACCAGTCAACAATATCTTCTTTAAATTCAGGGATGAATACATTAACTTCTGTTTGCCCTGTCCTATCTTACCTTCCAGACATGGATAGTCTGTAGATTTTTATTTGAATATTGGAAGTTCAACACTAGCCTCAAAGGATAAATAGACACTTGTCAAGAGAGCTAAATTCTAGTGTTTTTGACCATCAAGTCCCTAAAAACTCAATGCTTACATCATTCTTTTTCAGTATCAAGTCATATATTTTTAGGAAAATTTGCAGCAGTGGTCCCTAACCTTTTCAATTTTTGCAAACTTTACCCTAACTTTTATTTTGTGCCAACAAAGGTCCCTAGCATTTCATAAATATGTAGGTGGAATCCAAATAGATTGGAACCATCCATTTGACTGTTAGTTGACTAAGAATAGTAGAATTTGACTAAATTAAAAAGGGTAAGAAGGTAATTTTGTATTTATCCCTCAAAATAATTAAAAAAAAGAAAGAATTATTAACTCGGTTTCGGCCAAAAGTGAGTGTTTCGGTGGAGAAGTCACCGACGGTGAAGGAACCATCGCCATAGAGACTTGGTAGAGCTGTCGTCAGAGGGGAAAGTCACATGAGACTCCATGAAAGGAGGATGATTTTGTAGGGTCAAAAACCAAGTCGGACTGGGTGTAGCACTTCCTGCATGGGGAGCACTGTAGCCACACGACATCGCTTCCTGTATCCAGCACCATGTAAATAAACTTGGCCGGTGTCCCTATCCCCAGACACGTGAAGTACTCGTCGCTTCCCCTGCTTGAGCCTCGAAACCACTGAGCTGCTGAAATCCCTTTTACCTCTGGAAATGTTACCAGCAGCGACGGCGACGAGTGTGGTCAGGGCTTTGACTCTAATCTAACAGTTTCACATTGAAAGCGGAACTTGAAGAGGGATTTTGGGGTTGAATTGAAAGCAGACGGTGAAAGATTATCCACGTTGTGCAAATCTACAGGGTATTCGACTTAAAAACAAAGTTTCATGTAAAACTAGACAATAGATGGATGATACTAATGCTATGCTGATGTGGACTGACAAGCGATTACGATTCGTTGAATTTCGCATGAATATCAAAGGTAACCAAGAATTGGAGAGAATTCTCACAATTCCATTAATATTAATGATCAAAATCCAACCAAGAAAAAGGACAATGCATAAAGTGTTTAAATAGACATCCTAGGGAAGAAAACCCTAATACATAATTAATGTCGTAAACGCCCCTTTAGTGACTTAAAGTGCAAGAGATAGTTAAAAGAAATAAAACTTAATGGAAAGATAACAAGGTTTGGCCCCCTTATTTTAGTTGTAGGATAGGACTGCATCATATGCCCTGTTAAATCACTGTGGTGAACTTCTGAATGCTAATACAGATATACGTTGCAATCCAAAAAAGAAACATAACATTAAAATGGACCTTCATCATGATTGATTACAGATTACTTGAAAAAGGAAGACGCCAGGAATAATACTTGTGGTCTGTGGTATTATCACGTGCTCAGATGGAGGATTAATGCTCACGCCCTAGTAACTTGTTCAAGACATGGTTGAGTTCAGTTGATTAAATTTTCTTTATCTGAAATGCTCAACTTGCAAAGCATGTTGCTTCTTTTCTCTCTTAATTTCAAACAGTAGGTTTTGCTTGATTTATCTGCTTATATTTTTCAACCATCAGGCAGTTTTGGAAACTGTAGCTAGAGTCAAGCCAAAGAAAAATGAGACCAAAACAAAGGAGGAAAAGTAAGCATTTTGCCCAATTTGCAGAACATTATTCTTGACATCTCACCTGAACATAGTTTCTTTTTGCTGATAATTAACTGCTTTGCTATAATTTTAGATCCTTTAAACTTCATAATGTTTTCAACCTGGACAATGACAATGGAGCTGAAGAAACCCCAACTTTGATTGATAGAAAGGTGAAGATGGAACTGAAGGCCCTTGATATTTCTTTATGCACTTGTTTCCACTATGCTTATCAATAACATTTCCTCTCTCTCTAAGAGTAGAAGACAAAGCAAGAATTTTAATCAGTTGAAAATAAAAAATTATTGTACCTCTACGAGGGAATTGCGAATTACAATTGTCACGTATTTGCAGGACAACGTTTTCATTATATCAAATTTCAAATCTAAATATCCAGTGCTGCAGTTAGACTTGAGGTAAACTTACCAGTTACATATTTGATATGGTGCCATCAGTCTCCCTCCTTTTTCAATTCTGGTAGCCTAACTTGGTGATGATGTAGGCTTATATCAGATCTGGTAGTTGTCATCGTGTCTGCAACTTGTGGTGGAATTGCTTTTGCTTGTGCTGGACAACCGGTCTGATTTCTATCCTTGACCTATGGTACTTTATTGTTTATATGTAATCTTTTCACCTGCACCAGTCTAAAATTTTATTATTCACAAAAAATCTCAGGTTATTACTGGATACTTGTTAGCAGGGTCCATTGTTGGACCTGGAGGTTTCAACGTTGTCAGTGAAATGGTGCAAGTACGTATCTTAAATTAGAAAGTTGCTCTCTGACAATGATAGTTTACCTTATCTCCCATGTACGTACACAACGATTTCTTTTCTAGTGCGCTATTTTAAGTCTGTGAACAGCATCTTGCGCTGATTTAAAGTTCAGCTTTCGAGAACCATTGCTTCAAAATGTGAATGGAGGAGTTAATGCCTTCTATGCACTCGATATAATATCCCCTCTCCATCTGAAGTTGAATATCGTCATTTTACTTGGCAAGGCATTGGTGGGAATTCAAACCATGTGAATTTTGTGTACTATACCATCTGCATCCCTTGGTGTGAGAGGGCCCTGTGCTTCTGATTTTGATTTGATAACAGTGTAAAACTGGAATATTTTTGTGAAGGTAGTTTGATAAAGAAGTGGTGAAGAAGAGTGACCTTTAGGAAAGAAGCTTTTGATCTGTAACATCAGGAAATGTAAATGAAGACATTCAATGTTGGTCACAGGGAATAAAAGTTAATACAATTCTATCTTTCAATAATTAGCTATTAAAGCCAAAACCAATTCTTCTTTTCTGCAGATAGTTGCTAAAGCCCAAATGATTGAATAATGCACATTTTGATAATTATAAAAAACATAAAGTAAATGATTAAAATCATTGGGTTTTAAATATTTTTAATGCTCCATCCCCTAATTACTTATAATTATCTTGTTCTGCATTAGCACATTTTTGTATGAAGACTTGTCCAAATTCAGTTCCACGATGTTAGAATATAATTAATATGATATTACAATTTGCATCATCTCAGTCACTCAGTGTATCTTCTTCATTTAGGTCGAGACAGTGGCTCAGTTTGGTGTAATCTTCCTTCTTTTTGCTTTGGGTCTGGAGTTCTCTACAACAAAGGTTGGCAAGTGCTATTAGCGGCTTTGCGCTTATTTATTAGTCTCCTTAACTTTGATGCCTAAAATTCAACTTATGATTATTTCTAGAAACTGACTAACAATCTACTTTTCTCTCACAAACAGCTTCGAGTTGTACGAGCAGTTGCTGTTCTTGGAGGCTTACTCCAAATTCTCCTATTTATGTGCCTCTGTGGAATTATAGCCTTGGTGTGTTTAAATTGGACAATAATTCCTGATTATTTGGGTTATTGTGACTGTTTTAATTACATGCACAAAGTTTAAATATCCAACTTTTAGGATCAAGCTTGCAATGTGGGTAACGTAGACTTTAATTATCCAAGAAACCCCTAAAATGTTCTAGGATTTGAAAAAAACTACTAGTCCAAGGGCTGAGGCTGAGACCCAGAAAGGGCAAGACTAAGAAGCGTTCACCTTGGTCTTCATGAGGCATGCACCTTAGATCATGTTGGGGTAGGCTTACAAGCTTATATATAAACCCACCCAAATGTGCTCTTAAGTCGAGGCTCTTAACAATGGCTTCCCTGTAGCAAGTTTATTGATTGTAATGGTTAAACCAATTCTTCCTCGGTTGTCTTTGCTGCAAACTGGAGTGTGTAACTTCACTTGCTTATGTGCAGTCATGTGGCGGTAGGACTTCGGAGGGGGTATTTGTTGGTGCATTTCTCTCCATGTCATCTACTGCAGTTGTAAGATCTGTGCATTAGATTCTTTGTTTAATATACTACTGTCACAGTATTCCTGAATTTTTTTTTTTTCCTGACGGTCAAAACATTCTGATTATAGGTATATAAGTTTTTGATGGAGAAAAACAGTACTAATGCCCTTCATGGCCAAGTTACCATCGGCACTCTCATTTTGCAGGTATCCATATTACTAGTTAATCTTTTATATGACGCCACTGTTTTTTCAAGAAAATATATCAGTTACCAAATTTTCAATGCAAAACAACTTAATACTTCCTACTTTATTTTTCTACTCTCGGCATAAGTATTTCATCTTTCCCTTTAATTTTCCTGCAGTTCAGTTAAAATAATTTTTACTTTTGATCTCATTTCTGCAACTCTGTTTAGTACACATGTATTTCTATTATCTCTTCACACAAGAACAAGCCTTTGTTGCCCAGGAATCTTGTAAAATTGTGTTAAATCCTCTTAGGACTGTGCTGTGGGTTTACTGTTTGCGATGCTTCCAGTCCTGGGTGGAACTTCAGGTGTTCTTCAGGGAGTAATATCCATGACTAAATCGTAAGTTTGACTGTTACTAAAATGGGTTGCATGTATCTTTGTATTACATAAATAACGTAATAAATTGGAAACTTTATGTCCATGAATTGTTGTATTATTTTCTTTTCTTCATTTACAATGGACTTGATTTTCTGAAAAAAGGTGTAGAGTTCCTCTTTCAGTTTCCCGAGAGATCTTAACATCTGGCCATAGTAGTGGACAATATGATAGCATAATTTACAGTAAAAAAATGTTTGGTACATTTGGTCGGAGCTTTAGGCATGACTGAGGTGTGATAATATGCATGATCTGGTGTGTGCATTTTTTATGTGCAAGCCAGATATCAGACCGACACAAAAACAAACAGCAGTTGAATTACATGTTATTTTTCTTTTTGTTTCTTGCTTCTTCAACTTTTCCCTGGCTTTGGAAGTAGTTGAAGATCTAATAGTATCTCCTTGTATGAGCATCATTATCTGTACCTGTTAAACATAATACAGATTATCTGACAACCAGGTTGGTGGTGTTGATTGCATTCTTGGCTGTTCTATCGTTGTTCTCACGGACATGTGTACCTTGGTTCCTCAAACTTATGATAAATTTATCATCACAGGTGCGATTTGCTTTGGGCACTAGAATATTGTTGAACAAGCATGTGCTTGTTGCTGCCTTTCAAGTTTAGTTTGTTTGTGACATATTTTTCCCTTTGCAGACCAATGAACTCTATCAGTTGGCTTCAGTTGCATTTTGCCTGCTTGTAGCTTGGGTTTGTTTTCTTGCCAATGTTTTATCTCTAGATTTATTTCGCTGTTGTCATTCATTTGTTACATGGCAGTCTGATTGTTAAATGTACATGACTTTTTTCCCTTTGCAGACCAATGAACTCTATCTCTCGTATTTTTTTTATTGTTCTTTTGTCTCAATTCCTCCACCCTATGTATAAGTCCCCCCATAAAGTGAACTGTGATGAAGTCTGATGGTTCATGTAATTTCAGTGTAGTGACAAGCTGGGTTTGAGTTTAGAATTGGGTTCATTTGCTGCTGGAGTGATGATATCAACAACTGATCTTGCTCAGCATACGCTTGAACAAGTAAGATCACAAAATACTTCATTTTTTAATAGGAACTTGAAAATGTATGCATATTATGTAGCATATTTTCTTATTTCAATTTTATGTTTCCTGTTTCCTACATTCAAAAATGTGTTGGAAAGTAATGCATCACATGTATAATGTGGTATGTATGTCAATATCTTCAGGCTTTTTTGTAGGTCATTATGAGAATTCTATATTTGAATTCTTGTACACCCCTGGGTAGCTAGAAGCATTTTGCCCCTTCCATTGTGTACTAGGAGAAAATTTCATATTTCCAGCAGCATTCATTTGGGGTTTGTTATTCATGCAGGTTGAACCTATTCGCAACATATTTGCTGCTCTTTTCCTGGCTAGCATTGGGATGCTCATCCATGTTCATTTTCTCTGGAATCATGTTGATATCTTACTTGCATCAGTTATATTAGTGGTGGTTGTTAAAACCATAGTAATTTCTGCAGTTGTCAAGGGGTTTGGCTACAATAACAAAACTTCAGTACTTGTAAGATCTCTACCATGTTGCTTAAATAATACTTCAATATTTCATCCCATAACAAGGTGAGACATGGTCCTTGAGCAATATAGGTCGGGTTGTCTTTGGCTCAAATAGGGGAATTTGCGTTTGTACTGCTCAGCCGTGCTTCTAATCTCCATCTCGTTGAGGTAAATGCTATTGTTGCTGTTTAGTAAAACTTGATCAGTATTCTTCCCCAACCTTGTGGACGGAAGTCCCATGGGGCTGTTTTATGGTTTGGTCGGGGGGAAGAGAAAAAGCTAACTTGTATAGTTTCCATCTTAATTTCTTATGGCTTATTTATTTTCTTTGTAAACCCTCTAGCTAGCACTATGAGGTTTGTGATATTTTTGTGCTCGGTTTTCAAAATGCTTTTTTGTTTTTAAATTTTTTCAGGGTAAAGTGTACTTGCTGCTTCTTGGAACGACAGCTCTCAGTCTGGTACGAAATCAGCGTCCCTCATGCTTCAGTTGATCCATCGTGTACAGCTTTTATGCATGTATATTATTTTTGCTGCTTATGGTGAGAGGTGGTTCAGACATTCTACGTCATGAAGATATCCATATGTTCGGTTAACTAATGATTGTTTGATGAGGAGAACTCAATAGAAGTTCAGTTTTTCGTTGTTTACTATTTTGTAAATTCAATTACCTCATCTCTGGGTTTCTTTATAACACCCCTCCTGGCGTCAAATCTTTTAAAATCTGATGAAACTGAGATGAGTATACTACTGGCATTTGTAAATTGAGAAGGCCTTATCTGCTGTAAGCTGAAAGAAGTATGCTACTTACATATATATTCTTTTGCATTGTAAGTAACAGCCTTCTCTCTCTCTCTCTCTCGTGTGTGCTCGTGCATGTATATATTCATGCATGAAAGTGTGGTGGCAAAGAGCACTAGGGTTATACATGAAATTTAATAAACTGTATGTGTTGAGATCTATTTCACTACATCACACTACCACCTCTTTGCAGTTGAATGCATTGGCTTGGCTTTTGGGGTCAAAAAAGTTTTTTTTTTATTTTTTATGTGTAACTTATTTATTAATGTAATATTTGAGAAAACAACTTGTGCTTGGGGAAAATTATAATCATACACTACAGTAGTGTACACTTGTGTGTATTGAAAAGGTATATAAATGACTACTAAACATGGCTCCCTGACTTTTGGTTTGAACACGGATATTAATCCCAAGTCCTGCAAATGTAGGTAGAGGGAAATTGCTGGTCAATATTTTCTAGTGGATTGTTAACATAGATATTAATTCAGGTGACTACTCCATTGCTTTTCAAGTTAATACCTGCGGTTGTGCACCTTGGAGTGCTGTTAAGGTGGTTCTCCCCTGATGGTCAAAGCGAGGTAATAACTTGTGCTCATATTTTATTATTTGTGCAGAGTCCACTTTTTCCTTTCAGTTCAATCAAATTGTTTCCACGGCAACCCTCCTCACCATCTAAGTTGCTTGTTGAACACGACTGAAATCCAGCTGGGGTTTAAAGGTGACAATCTCCGCTCAGACAGTGCTAAGCAGAGAATTGCTTTAATATCTAAGGATCACTTGATACACGAAGGATGAAGTTAATTGTGAAATAAGAACTCCAAATTTCCTGCGGAAAACAACAGTGCTTGTGTGGTTTCTCTTGTACATCTCCCAACCAAAGTAGAGAGACAGGGTCTAACGAGCCACAAAAAAAAAATTGAAGACTCATTAGAAGGTAATCTAACTGCTAGACACACTAACAGCCAGAAGCATAAGATTTGATCGCGCTTAATCCCTTTGGGATTAGATTTTTGTATTCTTTTCCCTAATTGTAAAATACTTTTCAGCTTGTAATGTATTCTGACTGTTAATCCTTTTCCCCACTTAGTTTCAATTCAATTGTCTTGTCAGCTGGTAGGAGTTCTGCATGTATCCAGTTACATTTTGCTAAATGGAAAACGTCTTGTATAAAATGCAATTCTTGAAGAGAAACTGTATGAAGTGGATGTTTGTCTCCCTGCACCTGAATGTTGCTCTTTGATTTGGTTTCTTGTTTTCTTTCTTTTCCTTTTTTTCTCTTTTGGTTTCGGTTTTTTTCTTTCTTTTCCTTTTTTGTCTTTTGTGAGGAAGCTTTGCTCGGTGTTGTAATATATTTGACCTCTAACCACAGTTCGACTGCTTTACATGAGCCTCGAGCTGATGCTTTACCACAGTTCAATTTGTAACAATCAAGTCGCTCACTGACATTGGCTAACATGTTCGTCAAAACTGAATGTGTTCATCTCAGTCAACAGATCTTCAACCGTGTCCATTGAAATTAACTATGATTATTAAGTCATGTTGTCATTTATTTCTTTAGCTAACCAAGACGAAAAATACATAAACTTAGTTTAAAATGGTGATACGTTCCACGGCAAGAATATGATTAGTTTTTACGTGACTAAATGACGGATAAGTGAAACATGCATAGAATCAAACACATTATGTCAATACTACTTTTGACGAGTTTAGTGAAGTCAGAGGATAAAGAATGGAAATAAAAAATACTGAATTTCCACATTTGGGTCTGTCGACTGAAATGGGACAGTGGCATTTTGGACATTTCATAAAGCTGGGTTCTTTGCCACCGGATAACGGATATTTGTTCAAGACAACAGCACATTGGTTTGTCAACGAGTCCTTCCATTATCATTCGTCATCGTTTATTACTTTAAGATGGAAGATTCTAGAGTTTCCTATAATTTAATATAATTCCCTTTTAGGGACTTGTAGTGGGGTCCGGTTGGAAGCCGACAGTTCGATTCAACTGAGAAAATAAGGAGTCTGTTTGAAATTCGATTTAAGTATTAAAATTTACAAATTGTAATAACATTATAAATAACTTGATATGTTATTTAAATATTAAATTCTTTTCTTTAAGATTTATTTATAAATAAATTCACATTGAAACAAGGGATAATCGTAGTCACAATTTTAAATCTTTCAACTCTTTGCAATTTTTGGCTTACCCTTTCATTTGTCGCAATTGCAATCCTAAATCTTTCATTTTCGTACTTTGGAAGGCATATAGACATTTCCGTCCATATTTCTATTTGATGACAAAATTTGATTTTAATCAAATTCTAATTAGTTTTAAAATGGGCAAAATAATAACTCCATATTTTCTGACTTAGGGTGTATTTATCTTCCATTATTGGGGGAAAAATATAGCCAATGTTTGAGCCAAATTATTTTTTTTCATTCTTATTCTTCTACTCATTTTCAATCACACATTTTTAATAAAATAATATTTTCTATCACATCAATAACTTTTTCTTCTTTTCAACTACATATTCTCCATCGTATCAACAGTAAAAATGCATTCTTGCTCCCGAAATGTGCACCAAACATGGGCATAACAATGAATAGTATTTTTTGGAGAATGTGTGGTTATAATTTAAAATAACTTTATTAGTTTATGTGTATAATATTTTATTTGGTGGATGTGTGGTGAAAAATCTTACTACAACAAACAATTTTTTGGATGAGAGATGCTACATGTATACTCTGATGTACAGCATTGTTGACACTCCTCTCACAACATGGGGCCCACTAGTCGTCACACACCACTGGCCAAGCCAGCAAGCAACCTACAATCGCAAGCCCACTATCCGTCGTCAACATCCCATACATCGCCAACCCATTAACAACCTCAAAACAACAAATTTGTGGTTGGAACTGAGCACACTCATCCCCTCAATAGCCACCAGTGTCGGACGCTTCGTCTAAGAAGCGCTGGCAGCCCAAAACAACACCATCATCACCGGAAAATCGTTGGCACCACTACTTCCTCCATTGAGGTTGCTAACTATGGTTTTGATTGCAGAGGTGGTTTGCGGTAGCGACGGTTGGTGTGGGTTTGGTTTTAATTTTAATTTTGGGTTCGGGGATTAAGAATGTGTTTTAAGAGGTGGGTGAGAGGTGGAGGGAATAGTGGCGCCGATGATTTGCAGTGGCATAGGCGGTGAGTGATTTTGGTTTTGGTTCGATTTGGGGGGTGGGGTGGGGTGGAGAAGATAAAATTTTTTTATTATTATTATTTAATTATTTTAATCTGTGAAAAATGTAAAATTGTTATTTTGCTCTTCTCAAAAATATTAAAAATATGATCAAAGTCATTCTTCCTAGTTAGCTGACGGACATACGAATTGAAACTGTCCATATATCCTTTCGTTGCACGAAAATAAAGGTGGGTTCAACAAATGAAAAGTTAGGATAAAAGTTACAAATAATTGAAAATTTTGGGACCAAGAAAGATACAATTGTACAACTCAGCATGGAATATGTTTCCAATCAATAAATTCTAAAAATTTAGAGCATTGTCAATCAGTTATTTTCAAATCTCTCTTCGAAAACTGAAGGATCGTCGGAGGGTGAGTTTTAAACATTAGTCCATGTTTGGTGGGGATTAAAATCGAATCTTTAGTCAATTTTGATAAAAGTTGATGAGGTGCGTGTAGTTAAAATTAGTTGTTGAATTTGACTTAAATCAAAATTTTAATTTTAATTTCTATCAAACATGAACTTAATATTTATAAAATTATAATTTTTATTCCTCAAAGAACCCTAAATTTGGCCATTCTTTTACAATCTCATAGAGATCAGTACATAATTAATTGAAAAATTACTACATATAGGGCATGTTTGTTTTTTATTCTCAAATTCTACAGTAAATCAATTCTCATTTTCAACCACACATTTTTCAATAAAATAATGTTTTCTATCACATCAATAATTTTTTTTTCTTTTTCAACCACACATTTCTCATAGTACATAATTAATTGAAAAATTACTATATATAGGGCATGTTTGTTTTTTATTCTCAAATTCTATAGTAAATCAATTCTCATTTTCAACCACACATTTTTCAATAAAATAATATTTTTCATCACATCAATAATTTTTTGTTCTTTTTCAACCACACATTTCCCATCATATCACTATTCAAAAATCAATTCTTCCCCCAAAAATCCCTACCAAACAAGCACATAGTATGGTCCATCCCTTGTTTATTTCTATGTGCCACGAATTTTCCCTGAAGATAAATAAAAAATATATATATATAAACTATAATTTTAGTTAGGGCTGTCCGTAGGTCGATTTTAGGGCTGTCGTGGGTCTGTTCGGTTAGGTTCTGAAGAGACCCGAACCGACCCAAAATTTTCGGGTATTTGATAAATGGACCCGTCGGGTCCAAATATAATTATGGAACCGTTCGAGTTCGGTTCCGAACCATAATCAAATTTTTTAATATTTACAGCAACACTACATAAATACAACTAATGACATTTCATTCGTAACTTTTACAAATTAACATAG